AGATGGTGGTGAGTCAGTGCTACTTCTGTCTGATGCAGAGTCTGAAAACACTGTGAAACTCTGTCACACTGAAACCTGTAATGGGATATCTGGCCAGTTTCACTGTTTACACAAAGTACTTTTATTTGCCATGATTTAAACTAAGTTTCTTTGGGGAACGTGATTCAGAAAAAGCAGTACCTGATACCTCAAATATTTAATTTCTGAATTTACTCCTGAAAGGCAACTTAAACAGTGCCTTTATCTGTGGTGGTGTTTGCAGGGGTCCCAGGATGAGGGAGGAGATGAGAATGTTGACTCCATGTTTCAGAAGGCTGATTTATTATTTTATGATATATATTATATTAAAACTATACTAAAAGAACAGAAGAAAGGATTTCATCAGAAGGCCAGCTAAGAATAGAAAAAGAGTGATAACAAAGGCTTGTGACTGACTGAGACAGTCTGGACAGCTGACTGTGATTGGCCATTAATTAGAAACAACCACATAAGACCAATCACAGATCCACCTGTTGCATTCCACAGCAGCAGATAATCATTGTTTACATTTTGTTCCTGAGGCCTCTCAGCTTGTCAGGAGAAAAAATCCTAAGGAAAGGACTGACTTTTCATGAAACATGTCTGTGACATTTATCCAGAGGGATTGTTTCTAACTGCGGATATAGAAAGCCAGGACTGAGAATGATCTGTCAGGAGAAAGAGACCCACTTGTGAAGGTTCCTTTATCCAGAAGGATTGTTTCTGACTGTGAATATCAGAAAGCCAAGGGTGGGAATGATCTGTCAGGAGCAGGAGCCCGCTTGTGAAGGTGCCAGTGTTGAGGGTGTTGCTCCTTGCCCAGTGCTGGGATGCTCCCACCTCCTGCCTGCTCCCTCTCAGTCCCTGCCGTGCAGCTGCTTCATTCATTCATTCAGGTTTCTACTCAGCTGAGCTGTCCCTTGGTTACCACCCATAGCAACTGGCCAAGTGTTGATTAAACTCCTTCCCTTCCTCCCTTGGCTTGGCAGGAGAGCATCTGGCACTGCCTGCCACGGCAAACAGCGAGGCCCTGGAACCTTGCATCGTTTGAAAGAAACATCTGTCTGTGAGACACCAGGGTGTCTGTGACAGCTCTGCTTCTCCCCAGGCACAGGAAATGTCTCTGTAAACACAACATTTCTGGTCAAGCTTCCTGTTACACACACTGAGTGACAGCCAGCTCCTGGCTCTGCTCCAGTGAGTTGTTCAGCCCATGGCTTTGTGCGTCAGGGTGTCCCAGCTGGGACCTGGTTTGGGCACTCCATTAAGTCTTGTCATGCTGGAGGCAGATCATTGTGGGAATAGGAGGAGGTACCACTGTCCAGCAGCATGGTTTTATCCTCTCTTTTTATTTTATATCAGTTGCCTCCTACCAAGATCCATCTTCCTGCTTAGCTTTGCTCTCTGCTTGTTTCCCTGTGGCAGACTTACTCAGGCCAGACATGTGTGTTATCAAAGGTAATTTGGTAATAATTAGGTACCCATGTCAACAGCCTTAGTGGGGTCAATTAAGCTTGGGAGGGAGCTGATAAGTGATTCACTTTGGTTACTATCATTCATATAAAATTGCCTCTAATGCTGATTAAAAAAACCCCAACAAGATAATTTCTGCTTTCTGTACAGTAGAATGTGGCAGGGCTCCCAACCAAATGTCTGCAGCAGACAAAAATCCTGGTTTGGGTTTAAAAGCACTGAATTACTGAGTCAGGCTTTTCTGCTGGGCATTGATTGACACCATACTGGGACCCTGCAGGTCAACTCTTTCTGATTCTAGATGCAAAGTAAAGACACCCTTTAAAATCATGGCAAAGCACAAAGCAGGTTTTAGTGCAAATTGTGTGTGAGTGATGCTTTTACCTCGTACAAGATGCAGAACCAGGTTTTATCAGGTTTGCAGAGTAATGTGACTGAGGATACACAGACTTTTGATGTGAGATAAATGTCAAAAGGATGACATGAAAGGATATTTGCTGCAGGAATGTAAGAACCTGAATTATGGCAAGACTGCTGCATATGCAGTTTTAGAAAAGCTGCAATTTTTGAAGCTTCAGCATAACAGAGTTGGTAGATAGCCTCTAGTTGTAAAGTGCTACCTCCAGCCTTTCATGGTGATATTTCATGTCTGTAAACATGCACGTGATGCATTTTGATGACTGGAATCCAGTTCCTACTGGAATTGGAAGCAACTTTTGCTGCAGTTTTGCTGGCTGTGCTACTTTTTCACTGCCAAGAGGAGATGTCTTGTGATCAAAAGAAAGCTCAAACAAAACCTTCTTTCCTGCCACAACCTCTTAATTTTAAATCTAGCACTTGTCTACAGAACATCCTGAAAAGCAAACTATGGCTATTTAAAACCATGTAAATTATGAAGCATGGAGAGAATCAAACTCTAGTATTTTCTGCCAACGTGCTGCATTACTATGTTTTTCTAAAGTACAAAGAAATTTAGTACAAATATAGAGCTTCAGTTGGTCTCTGATTTAGGTACTTGATCAAGGAGAGAATTTCTACCACCTTCACTTGGTTCTATCTCTGGATCTTGTGAAGACCATTCACTGTCCTAATGTATTATTCACATTTATATCTTCATGTGAACTCACTATAATTTTGGTTTAAGACACGTTTGTATGGAAAAAGGGCTAAGGTTTCCATGCTTTGTGATTTGTAACTGTACAAGTTGAATGAGAATAATTTTGTGCCTTTCTGATTTTGCTCTGACTTCACTTTCTCCCACACATTTTACCCATCAAATTCAAGTGAAGTGCATTGATGTTATGCCAAGAAATATTTGTACTTTTTAACTTTTCCTTGCTTTCCTTAGATCTTAACATATCTTTCCTTCATTTTGCTGTAAGGATTTTACGTACTGTTTTTAGTGCATCGAAGTGAATTAAATTGAGAAAAATGGTTCCTTCAGCTTGCTGAATCTGCTGCTTGGTTCAGAAGCAAATACAGGAACAATTCCCTGTCAAGCTGTCTCTTAGTTATCTGGAAATATCTTTTTTTTTTTTTTTTTTTTTTTTCCCAAGTAATAAAGTGTGTTTATCACTTGAAGAGCATGTTTATCCTTGAGGTTTAAAATCTGCTCGATATCAAAAATTCTTTCATTTGAGTACCATGGCTGCTGTCTAGCAAGCTGCCTGTCACTGAATTCCACCCCTTGCTGGAATTTTACTGCTAATTAGGGGTAACATCAGAGAGAAGTATTACCACTTGCTTACAATGCAGAGAAAACCTCAGAGCTCTGCACAAATGTCGCTGTTATGAACCTGGAGCCAGCTAGGCTGCAGAATTGGAAGTTAAAGAGAGAAGATTGGTACAGCTCTGCTGTTGGTTTCCTAGTGCTGCTTGCCAGGGAGAATCATGGGCTGCCCAGAGGAGGCTGGGGGCCAGATTCTGATATGTCATCCATGCTGAGAAACTCTTTCTGTCTGGAGGGGCTTCTGGAATAAAGGTTGGCTTACCAGTGTTTAAAAGAGCAATTTTCAGATGGATGGTTTGGATGGTGTTGAGGTGTTGGTGCATTAACCTGCTTGTGTCCAACCTCCCTGATCATAGAATCCCAGAATGGTTTGAGTTGGGAAGGGCCTTAAAGCCACCCAGATCCACTCTTTGCCATGGGCAGAGACACCTTCCACTATCCCGCGCCCCATCCAACCTGGCCTTGGACACTGCCAGGGATGGGGCAGCCACAGCTTGGGTGTAAAGTCTGCAATTTCAGGGATTTCTGTATTAGATTGCTTTGGTTACTGGTAAATAAAATTGCCCATTCAATTTCCTAGGCTGAGTGCAGAAACAAAATCTTATGTTTGTTACATTCCAAGATACTGCTGATTTTAACTGTACACTCCCTAAGACCATTGCATTTAAGTCTTCCTTTGCATCATTCTTCATATGTGGAGAGGCACAAACCAGCAAATAATTTTTCTTGGTCATCAGTTCAGAAATTTGCATGGAATTTTTAATAATTTCTCATGTCTGACTCTCTTGGATACCATCCTATATCCAAGAGAATCCTACAGCAAGATTTTTTTTCAGTTTTTTTTTAACCTGCACTGTGCAGATACAGAAGTTTCTGTGAGAAAGGCCAGCCCAGCTTATGCCTTGCACATACATCAGGAAATCCACAGTGCCACTGTGGATGACAACAGGATCTGTCACAGCTGCAAAATGGCGCCAGAAAAGACAATTCCTTGATATTCAGGGCAAAAAGAGGAGAAGAAGAAAAAGGGAGAAGCCAGCAATGGCAAAATCAAATTGCTTCCCTCATGCCTGTTGGAGATGTTTTTCTTTTTAAGTCTATTGAAATTAGAATTCAGATTGGTGTTCAACAATCAGGAAATAAATGAAAAAGAAAATTATTAATTTAGAACTCAATGTATTTAGATATTTTAAACTCTATACATATGCATAAAATTTGCCAGTCTCTTTCTTTCAATGTGATTTTTGGTGCCTTAGTGGAACCTGAATATTGGTAGCTCTTGTTCTTTGGCTCTCTTGTGTATTTTGCATTTCAGCTCCTGTTTTTATTGCTCAGGTAAGGAGCGAGGCAGGAGCAATTAAAGGGAGATAACATATTCAGTGTGTCTCTGCTGCAGCACTCCCCACACACCAGTACAGCTCCCAGAGCTTTGGGGATGCTGTGCTTAATGCTCACTGCTGCCTTGGACTGCCACCATGTGAAGAGCAGCAGCTCTTCCAGCAGCCTCCTGAGACTGCCACCATGCCAGCATTCCTGGGAAATGGGCAGCTGGGGGACTGGCAGTGCTCTTACCAACAGATTAAGATCTCATTTCTTGCTGTTTCAGTGTTGTATCGGTGTTTCAGATACCAATATCTGTTTGGCAGAATGAAAGTAATAGAATTGCTCCACTTGGTGAAATGAGAATATCTTTGCCTGATGTTTGTCAGTGATGTGACGTGTTTTCCTTCTTGGCAAGTGATGGCAACATATTAATTGTGCCTATTTTACAACCCTTTAGGTGGCTATAATAGCGGGAAATTTTGAGCTTGCTGAATACATCAAGAATCACAGGGAAGCTGATATTGGTAAGCAAAATATTTACAGACTCTGAAAATAAGTTGTGCTTGTTTGTGCCAGGGTTTTGCAAAGATGTTAAAACTGATTCTATGTGAGATACAACCACAGGGTTGCTGACATTTCAGGGAGGTTTGAAAAGTGACTCTTGTAAAAAAATGCAGATGGGGAAAAAGCTGAAATGTTTTCAAAAATATACTCTGAAGAGGAAAATGTGGTAAGTGCTAGGTGCTTTCTAAGTATAAATTAGTCAGTTTGTAATAAACTAAATACACATCCACTTCCCTTACAGATTGGCCTCACCTAAAAGCAGCTCCCAAATAGGAATAATTGATCAAAAGATGAAAATGGAGAAAGATGCTTCTCTACAATTAAATGAATATATGGTAGAAGCCAACTCCCCACATCCATGAGAGCATTCCCTCTCTCTGAGTTTGGTGGCAATAAGGGCCTTAAGGGCCCCTGACAAAAAAATTGGAGGCTCTTTCAATATCTTTTTATGCAGAGATTTGCCATTAAAATAAAAGCCAGTTTGATACAAATGATGCCTAATACAGTTTAACAAAATAGGTTAAAATGCTTTAATTCAAGTTAATTTAAGTTCCAGAGAAATATCCTGAAGTTGAACAAAAAAAGGCATTTCTTTTGCAGCAGGAGGCTCTGTGTACTCGCTGGCACTGATTTAACTCAGCAAGGCAAATCTCTGACTTGAGTATTTCATTTATATGGGAAATGAGGCCAGCTCACATGAAATATAAAACTAAGGATGTGGATTAAGGACTACTTTCCCTTTCCCTTCCTTGTTGCATATGATCTGCAGGGATATGGTTGAGGGTTCTGTGGTAATGTAAGTTCTTGTAGCACTTTCAGCTCTTGCTGTGTGCACTGAGAAAACTGAGGGCAAAATGCACCAAAGTCATAACTTCTGCATAAAGGTTCAGAGATAGGCTGAAAGGGTTTTTTTTTCTGGGATAATGGGATAGTTCCTTTCCAAATAAAAATTCTTCATCAATCTATATTTATTAATAATCTGTAAAGCATGAATAAAAAATGAACATGTTATTGTTATTAGGTTGAGTGTCTTATTGTTGTTTATATTTACATATGGGTAATGGGGTTTTTTTGCTGACTTATAGGATTTGGTGATTTCTAGAAAAATTTTTAGAAAATACATTCTATGGGAAAATTCTCCAAATTTTTCTGATGCCTCCATCTTTGCCACTGAAAAATAGAAATATTGGTGCTTCCATTATTCATTCGCCATTTTTGCAAGATGGTGGCTTGAGCATGACTGTTTAAATTAATAGATTTGTGTTAAAGAGTAAACATTACATTATTTTATTTCCTCCCACCTAATTTAATTGAGCTGTACATTTGTCCTTTAAGTTTTATTACTTATGAAAAATGAAGTTGTTAAAATGTCCATTTTTGGAGTCTCCTAGTGGAGAAAAAAAAAAAAAAAAAGAAGAGTAAATCAAAGAACCAAATCCTGAGCAGAAAACCTGAGAGCTGCTGTGATGATGAATGTGCAGAGTGATGTCAGCATTTCAGCTTCAGCAAGTTTTGGCTTTTGCTTCTTGTGCTTGTCTGGTTACCCACTGTGTTCCTATAATTTTGGATGTATTCCAAAATTTATCACTTGAGTAATGCACCTCCTTAGAGACAGCAGAGGGGGAAGGAATAGTGAAGAGCTTGGGAAGTATCCTCAGGAAGATGAGCACTATTCATACTATCAAGTCTCTTGAGAAACTTTTAATCACTCATCCCTCAGAAAATATTTTTGTTTAGATTCTGAATTTTGATACTGAACCAGTTCATTAAAACTTGTTATTGTTTTAAGTTCACTTAATAATCCCAATCTCTTTGCACTTTGTAATTATTTTAGACTCTATTTTAGAAAGAAAATTCTGATTTACATCAGAGCCACGAAATCTTTGTCCTACAGATCGAATCCCACCAAGATTGTTCTTCTTTTAATTTAATTGTAAAGCACTTTCACATCAGATAGATATGAAAACTAGGCATATATAAAATTAGCTTATTTGCAATAATTGTAAGACTTCCAGCTGTTCTGGAAAAAGAAGAAAAATATAAAAAATATTTTAGAGCCAAAAAAGGTGAGAATAATGTCCCATGGAGTAATGTGAATAAACCTATGAAGAAAAAGCCTTGCAAGGGATTCCTGTGGCTTTAGTCCAATAAAACCCCCTGGCTGATTCTACCAGGAAAATTCTCACTCTGGACTGGGATGAGACTGTTTTGTAAGATTGAATCAAACAGAAAAGATAATGGAATCCAAAGGCAGAAAAAAAGAGGTGCTCATAAAGGATTAAAAACAAGATGCAGATTTCATTGTATTTCTCTTTTATGAGGGAATCCCTTTTGTTTTCATGGCAGATGTTTGAAAGGTGGATGGAAATTGCCATATCATTTAAAAAGTAATCCTATTTGAAACAAATTACAATAGTATTTTTCATAAAGCAAGAAACCCTATTACCATAAGGTACTTAGAAACTCGTTTTACAAGCAGTATGAAATGCTTAGTGTGGCTTCTCAGATTATATCAATTCCTCATACCCCCAAATTAGTTAGTTTTTTTTTGTTTAGAATAATAACAGCACCAGAGTAGCTTATTTTAATTATTGGTTATTTTGGAAGTTGTTGGGACCCAGAAGTGTATCCCAGCTCAGTGACTATTGTTGCATCTTCTTTTATGGTTTGAGGAAGACCTTACACATACCCCTGATGTACCGCAGTTGCACACCATTAAAAATATTTAATAATAATAATAGTGTCCCTTTTAAACTTCTTTTTTCTTTTAACTAACCATAGCACATTTATAATTTATTTAACTTTATGCATTTATTTATTGCAAACTAAGAGAAAGTAATGGATTAAAAGATGTGATGAATAGAAAAGTTAATCCCTGATTGTTTTCATCCAGCCTGCAGCTGTCTGTGAGTAAATGAGCACAGCAGATTTAGGAAGCATTTGCTGTACAGAATTTACTATGGCTTCTATAGGATGGAGGTACAAAACCCAATCATATATGTAAGAATTTTGAAGCTTTCATTACATACAGATATGCAGATATTAAGTGTGTTGCAAGCTGATAATCCTTTGACTTGGATAACCTATTTTTAAATCTCTCTTTTGCCTTGGTTCTTTGTGATGGGATGAATTTTCAGACGGAGTAAATGACATGGGTTGTTCTTCTTCAAGTGAACAAGGTTTGTTTTCTATTGTGCATCTTGTCCTTCAGCAGCTCTGGAGCCAGGACTGATAGGATTCTTTTGTCTGGTTTTTTGTTTGCTTTAGGAAAATGAAGCACATTGAGCTGGTGTGTGAGTTTTTGGTAGTTGATTAGCAGACTAACTAATACTTGGATACTGTTGCTAGGCTTCAAGTCAGAGTTCCTGTATTCCTCTATAATTATGCAGAGAGATGTGTGTGTGTGATGGTTTGTCTGTGCTTTCACATGGGTGTTTTTATTTTGATAATTTTGAAAATCTGCTAATACAGTCTGTAGACACATTCCACATGTAGAAATTGCTTTGAAATTAAACATTTTTCAAGTATGAGTAAAAATGTGGGGTTTTAAACTGGCATTGTGACTGTAAACAAAAGGAATGTGTATTTTATTGTGGAATAGGCAGAACAGGTATTTCAGAACACAAGGATATTAGCTGGTTTGTGGTAGAATTGCTTTTCTAACTAATTTTCTTTAATTAGATGAGAGTGATTGAGGTCAGCAATCTTGGTTTTTCAGCTGCAAGTGTTGCTATTAAATGCTGGCCAGCCTAAGGAATATTCTGTTTGTTTACTTATTTATTTGGATTTGGGGAATGGTTCAGTAATTTTGATTTTCATCAATCAAATGCCTGCAGAATACTCCTCAAGCTAAGGGAAATCAGATTGAGACAGATAACATAAGAAAGAGGAAAAGGCAGCAAAGCAAAAGGAAAATCTACAAAACTGTCGGCAGCATGCAGTGACTTGTTCTATTTTTATCACTTGTTATTTAATAGAAACAAAAGGGACAGAAACATCTATTGTAGCCCTGTGCAGTTGTCATTTGGGAGTAGCATTACCTGCTTCAAATGTTAGTGAGCATTTTATGTGGAAAAAGAATGATATCTGTGTAATCTGGATGGCAAAACCACTGAGGTGTGAATTTCCCACGTTTTAAATGCATATTGTGTGGCAGAATATCATAATCCTGTGTTCCTTTTGCAATTTCTTTCAAATATCTGTGCTAAACAAATAATTACTTCTGTGTTCATGGAAAAACACCTCTTTGCATTAATGATGTTTAGGCTGGGTTACAAGCAAACAAATACTGGTTGATATGAAATAAATCTGTTGCTATTATTTCTCTGTTTTCCTCTGAATGGTTGCAAGAAATAGATTTTCCTGTACTCAGTCTTGCTACGTGGCCGCAAACAAATTGGAAAAGTGGGAATTGTGTGTTAATGTAATTTTATACTGAAATGTAGGGCAGAGCTTGAAAAACTTACCATGCTTTTCCTTTTCCCTTTGATCACAAGTTAGTTATTTCTGTGTGTGCATTGGTGCAAAACCATACAGTAATTTGCTTTATTTCAAAGTTTAAACTTCATCAAGCAGCTGGTTGCTCTTGGTCTTTGAACTTGGGTGTATTCTTTGCGTGTAACAAGGACTGTAGGCTGAGGTGTGCAAATTCTGTGGTGTGTGGCCCTTTCTGAGGCTTACTTGAAATTCTGAGCAGGAAGGAGAGCAGAGAGCTGGTGCCATGTGTAGGTGCTGCTTTGAGTACAGCTGATTGCAGAATGCTCTGGCCTGCTTTTGGAGACCAGCCTGCAGCACGTCCTTGCCACCTGCCAGGTAGGCAATGACTGCCACACCTACTCCTCCTAGGCTTTATTTTACAGACTGAACCAGAAGAGCCTGGCACTTGAGCCAAAAATAACCCACTGGAGGGATCCCAGGTTGCTCCCAGGGCCCTTGAGCTAGTTTTGGTCTCAGGCAGAAC